GATTTTGAAGGCACTACATTTATCAACTGCACTTAACAACTACATCATACTGTATAATATGTTTGCACTTTTATATTTTAAGCTTATTGTAGTTTTTTAAATAAAGTTTCTTTTTATGTATTGGACAGAATTAGCAACACCAGTTGCTCGAAGGTGTGTCATAGTAGTGATTAAGCAGATGGGAGACCCTCTCAGACAGTCCTGGCGATGCCAAGATCATGTCAGTCTACAGGAAAGGAGATAAGCCCATGGAAATTACATAGCAGATGCTCATAAAAATTACATAGGGATCACTTTACTGTCCATTGCAGAAACGATTATCACAAATCTTTTGTTCCCTCTTGAACCATCTTCCAGTTGCTGAAGAGATGCTCCTGGAACATTACTCAGGGTTAAAACTTTGAGAGGCACAGTTAACAGGATCTTCACTTTTTACAAGGTGCAACAACTTTGGAAACAGCTTAAGCTTCTCCCAATGATCTCCCTTCCCCTTTTTACACTCTGTGAACTCCAAAATCCATCGAGACTCTTTGTTTGCTCCTTGACAATATGCAAGAACTGATTTTCATCAATTAGTTTTCATAAATCTATTACGGACCCTAATGAGGTTACAAAGTGTTCTATCATTTGATTTTTCAGAGCATTGTATTTGTTTGAATTCAGAGCTGGGGTAGTGCCTTGTCCTATTATTATTAATAATAATAATAACAACAGCAATAATAATTATAATAATCATCATAACCTTTTTATCAGATTATGGTCTGCTCTTAACCTTTTTTGTAACTAGAAGATTTCTGATTCAGTGATGTTGTTGAATTATGTTTTGTATTGGTATTATGGTATTGTATTGTTTTTGTATTTTTTTGCTTTTGATGTCCAAATTCCAAAGTACCTTAGGGACAAAAAAGGTTCAATTCAATTCAATGGGAGTCACACGAGCTCTGTTTGTCATCACCCCAGCTCTGTTCTTGATACACCATACTGCAGTGCTACATCTACTGACTACTGACATGTTCTTAGAGTGGGATGACTCTACCAAATGGTAGAAAAACAAACATTTGAAGGTAAATCTTCAGGTAATTCAGGTAATGATTCTTGATTCATCAAGAGACTGTGAACAGCACTGGGCATTTCCTGTACCTCTGAAGTTATCATTCACAGAAGGCAGACGTTAATGAAGAATGTACATCAAATGCACAAGTCTAGCCTTCAGTCAGTGGTCAATTAAAAAAACACTAAACTATTTAAAACTAAACATATAGTTTGTCAGGCAGTCAAGGACTCTACCTTACTGTATAGTCTTGAGACCAGGAAATGTATCATAAAAAACCTCAATTATTGGGTGTTCTGGCTGAATATATTCAGAAGATAGACCATCAACATTAGCTTCCTCTTACAAACAGCAAATGTTTTGAGGTAATGTCTAACTTAGCTTGGCATGCCACAATGCCCGGACATCTGACTGCAGACTCCTGAAAGCAGATGTCCAGCACAGTTATAGCGTACACTCAAGAGAACAGTTGTAGACATATTTGTTAATAAGACATATTTCCTTAAATAAGTCTTCAAGACACAACCTGAAGAAGTGCAAAGTGCAACATTGACATGAGTCCCACAGCAACCATTTCTCAGAAACTCTTCAAAATCTGCTGCAAGGAGCTCAACACGTTGAACCCATACAACAGCCACGAGAGACAGAAAAGCACAAGCAGGGAATGCATAATTTACCCAGGCCCACATATTGCACTCAGAAATATGACCATAAAATATTCTGGATGGACCTTGTCCATCATCTCCAGCCAGCATTGTAAATAAACACAGCAGTGATTCACTTTAATTTTCTGTATGGCTGAGTAAGGCCTCTTGATATCCAGGCTTCCTGTGTGGGGTGAAGAAGTGGATATCTTTGGGAATGAAACAGCTTCTGTAAAATTGCTTAGTGACGTGAACCTAACTGACAAAGAGTAACCTAGACATTTACTGTACCTTGTGCAGAGATGTCTAAAGAAAACCTTTCTCATTAAAATCTAAAACTAAAAAGGTTAGATGCCAACATCTAGACATGATAAATACCTCCATTGTCAATTAAATAATACTTAATTTGTAGTCTGTAGGTTAAGTGGCTAATCATAAAAGAGCAAAATATAAAAGATCACATTTCTGTTTCCTAATTATTTCCCAAACACATCAAAAGGTAGAAACCAAAGATTTACTGTCTCCTGATGCAAATTGGCTGGGAGACAACATCAGAAATGTAATAGGAGGTGCAGTTGAGATGAGAATGAGAAAAACTGATTCATTTTTGATGAACCTGAGTCTCTGAAAGGATCACTGTGACTCAAACACATGCATAGCAAAAGTGATCCCTGAAATCTATAGTTCTACATTATTTTGTAATGCCACCTTTGACATTGTACAATGTAATACTAACTCATACTGTAAATGGAAAAAAAATGATCAGGTTTCTTCCATTTGGGAAGTTCGAAATGTCACAAGTGAATTCTCCACTGCACATAAAGAATTAAAATGTTGATGCTCAGTCTTTGTAGCAATGACGATAAAGTTAAAATGCTTGGAGAATATATACTTTTCCAATTACAGTTATAGTAAAGGTAATTGCAAATAGTTAAAAAGTAAAAATACTTTCTATATGCTTATGGAATTAATGTAACTGTTATGTAAAATTGTTTAAGAAATTAATTTAACGTGTCAGAGTGTGAATCAAATTATTTGTGGCAACTGTAAATCTAATTTATATACAGATTTATAATACAGATGAGACCTGGTTCAGCATCAAGTTTCTAAGGTGTGGGACACCCAAGAGTCTCAATGGGGTATCATGGGGAGCAAACACAGGTGATGGGCCAGGTAGGAACACAATGTCCTATCTACCTCGTCCTCTTTCATTGACAAAACTGCTCAGGAAAAAACTTTTTTAATGAACCAGGGTTACAGGAGTAACCTAATGTACTCTTTATATCATGGTCAATCCATAGCTTACTGTTTTGTCTTGGTTGAGTGCCTGGAAACTGTGGGTCTTGCCTCTTCTCCAGATTAATCCACTATTTGCTCTTTGAGAAGACATTGCAAAACAAGATAACAAATAAATAGCTCTTTTTGGCATGCATTTGGTTTTATACAACTCTTTGGTTGTCTGTTATCCAGAAAGAGTTTTATCTAGACTTTTCTGCTATTTACAGACTTCAGAATTAATGAAAATTTCATTATAGGAAACATATTCTCTGCAGACATCCTGGTATTTGAAAACAGATGTTGTTTAATGGGACATTGATTAAGTCTAGCTATGCAGCCTGCAGTTACAGGACAGATTTAACTTTTCCTTTGGGTGTCATGGTGTACCAATCTGCTGAACACTTGCAGTTTGTCTTTATAGTAGTAATTAAAATCATTCTCTTAAAAGATATCCATCCGTACAAAAAACACATTATAAAGCTGAACTTATCACATTTTATAAAAATACTTTACTTAGTTTTGTCATTTCAGTTGATGTGCACATCACAGGCATTCAGAAAGTTCGGTTTCCCTGCCTTCATTTTGCATATACTGCTACTTTTCTTTACGGGGAAAACAGTTCAGCTTCAGGTATTGTGATTTGCTGGCTCTTACATAAGCCAACACCAAAAACTGAACATTTTGAACTCTGCAACATAATTTTATATTTTCAGCAAATGCAATGTAATAAGGTGTCATATGATGACTACAACACTGCCGCAAGAGGTCGCTAAAAAGAACTTTGTAAATAGGTCGCCTTTGTAAAAACATTGCCTGTTGCAGCTAATTGTGCAGTTGCTTATTGATTAATTTTTTAGGAATGTGGAAAGTTCACGTTTATCTGTTTGTAAGTGTTTGTTTTCAGTGTTTGGTTGGTAACTGTTTGATACATTTCTATACGTCTGTTAAACTCTAATCATTGTTGTCGTACTGGTGCCAGGAAAAAATATTAGGTAGCTTGAAAAATAAACAGGGAGCAAAATGTAATTACAGCTTCAGTGAAGTGCAAATTTTTTATTGTTTTATTGTTATTTTTTTATGTCAGCAATGACAAAGAAAAGAACTGTTCATGGATTTTCTATTTAATCTGAGTGAAGGTCCCCAACTGCACCTATTTCAGGCAGGATCATCCACAATAGATAAGGCTATAAGAACTACATCTACACATTTGTATCTGTGTTTTAATATAGAAATGGATCAATCTGCACAGAGCCCATTTTGTGCCTTTACAGAAACATATATTACTTTGCACTTCTTCAGCTGCACGACCAACATTTTAAATTCAATGTTCCTGCATAATTTTACCAAATCAGCAAGCAACATTGTATACAGTAGGAGATGCAGTCTAATATGCCATGTTGATTAGACATTACATGGTCTCTGCACCCTATTTAACATTTATCTTATGATTACACAGGGATGCCTGAATAGGAAAACAACAACAAAAATATCCAAATACTCTTCACAATGCTAAACAAATCTGTTTTAAAAGTTTAACATGTAAATAATCCTAGAGCTCATAAAATCTACAACATGCTGTGTAGTGGGAGTCTTAACTGTTTCTAGGTGTGGAGATGAAAAGGGCATTTGTGATGTACTCTTATATTCCTACCCTAATGGCTGCAATGGAGTAGCTTCTACAATTTCCTTAAAAGCCAAAACTACAGATAAATGTACTGCCCCTTCATTATTAAATAAAAAAAAACTAGAATACATGCATATTTTACAATGCAGTAAGTGTTGAAAAAGTGAATAAGCTTGGTGGATCCTCTTCCAGCTCACATAATGTAAAGAAGGCATCCAAGCATGCTGTGAAAAGTAATGAACCTGTGGCTGTAACATTTCTGTTGCAGAGCCTACCTTAGAATTAGAAATGAGTGAAGTCTGAGGTGCAAGAACAGCTTTATAGCAGTTCTTTTCAGAATAGAAACCACAGAGTACAAAGCTTTTGTTCAGAGTGAAGAGTTTCATGCTTTTATTTCCTACAGAATGAGAGGATGCTGAGTGAAAAGACAGCTCCTGATAGCTCCATGACACCTCTGCCTCGAAGCAAGTACTGGCCACACATTAACAGACAGCAAAGCATAAAGCCAGCCAGCCACTTAAAAGGTAACTCACATCTACTGCAATTACTGTTTCTAGTTTTGACGCACCATCACGCCTACAAGACAGTTTTGTTTTTATCCGATCTCAAAACTGTGCAAATGTGGCCCAGCCTTTCAGTTAGAGACAGGGGATGTCTGGATCAGTCTTTAGAGAATGAAAAACATTATGTTATTGTCATAGTGTTATTTTGAAAAGGACTCCACAATAAAAGAATCAGTGGTAGAGCTCTTGGAACTTTACATCATTAAGCAAGCTACAGCTTCATTGAAATTCTTTGAATTCTCCACTGAATTTAGCTTTAACTCAGTTGTGAGTAAGCCATCAATAGAAAGGAAAGTGAATGTGTTTGGACACAGGAGGAGTCAAGGACTTGGGCTGTTTCATAGAGCAGTAAGCTAAGAATAGCTGGAAATTGAGTTAAACCTGTTTTTGTTCTGTAAGCTTGAATTTACATGTATGTTTGTTTGCACGCATGTGACATTTATAATTGTTTACTGTGTATTCTTTAAGTCCGTAAGACAGTTTTTAGTGTGTTATTTGATAGTTGCACTTAATGTAAACTAATTTACTTTAATTTACAGTTATTCTCACAGAAAAGCTACCAAATATTGAAATTAATTTGGAGAGAATTTATGTGAAATTAACGCCACTGTAAGGTTTCATGATTTCTTACAGGACTATTCGGCAAGATTAACGAGAAGAAATGTTTTTGTTCTTTAATTCTGCATCATAACTCAATTTAAATAATAACAAAAACAGTTGTTGTACTTTTATTGGTATTTAGCAGTTCCAATAAACTTGTATATGGATTACTAGTGAAAGGAATCTGCAGTGAAGGGGGAGAAATGTAAACTTGACTGATAGTTGTGTGTTTATCCATCCATCCGTTTTCTAACTGTTTTATCCAATACAAGGTTTCGGGGAGCTGGAGCCTATACCGGTTTGCAACGGGCACAAGGCAGGATATAGTCTGGATGGGATGCCAGTCCATCACAGGGCACACACACAGATACAGACACACACACTCACACCAGGGCGGATTTCTCCAGAAGCTCATTAACCTACTAGTATGTCTATGGACTGTATGAGGAAAACAGAGCATCCAGAGAAAACCCACATGAACACGGCAACAACATATATTGTACACAGGAAGAACCTTTGTCTCCAAAGGTTAAAAATCTGCCAACCAGAAGATTTCTATTTGACAAGTTTCAGATGGAAGCAGACAGCTTTTTGCAAGTACAACAAAAATTGTGCAAAGTAAAAAATGCAGCTGTTTCTCCTGATAATCTATTTAATTTCACCTGATGCATTTCAGAGTGCATTGTGGAAGCTGACAGAACATTTGCAAAATGTGACTGAATGCAAAAGACATAACTGCATTTTACTGTATGGTATTTCTGTCTTTTAAGACTAATCTTCATATTTTTTGGCACATTTTAAATTGTTGAACTATCATAACTATGTGCAATGTTCAGGGGAATAAAAACATACTTTAAAGAATGTTCATTTTTCCTTCTGGTTACTTCTGAATTTCCCAAGAAACATCTGTGATGTCTGACAATGTAAATTGCTGCACAGCTATAGCAGTATCAGAAGCACTCACCTCATTCAATAAATTACTGTCAAATGTATGGCTGTTGATCCTTTTGTTTAATATCTATATTGTATTCAAATAATAGATTGCTGTACATATAATTATGCATGCTAAAATGAGGTCTTGAAATATTTTTATATACTGTAGGGTGGATCTATTAAATCATATACTGCTTTACAGAGCGATACAATGGATTTGCATTGATTTTTGCCCTCTATCTTTTTAAAATAGATAACTCCAGTCCATTGACGTCTGTGGATGAGAAGACCACCGTTTGTACATGAAGTCTTCATCATGCACAAGACCAGTTGTGAAAGAGACTTTTGATGGGGAGACAATCTAAAAAAATACCAAAAGGAGGAAATACTCAAACCAAACTTTTGATTTAAGTGAATAAGACATTTTGTGAAGAAAATAATATATTTTTGTCTTTTTTTCTTACTACTATGTCAGATAAGCACTTACAACTGGTTGAACATCTTTGTCGTTCGTTTTACCAGTAGGAAACCGTTATGCATTATCGTGCCAATGTTTGTAGTTTTTGTGGTTAGCCTGATAATATACTGTATGATTTTTTTGATTTAGTAAGAAAAATGTTTTTAAGGAATGTGTATCTCTCACTTGTATACAGGCTGTTCTCAGTGCTGTACATGCATTTGTAATGTAAATAGAGGTAAAATGTTTCTGCCATGAATATTAAATAATTTATATAAATCTTAGTTTGAGACTGTCTAAATTTTAGTTTTTATTTAGATGTGAATGCTTTAGAGGACATCAGATTTAGAGGATGATCACCTTGCTCCTGAAAGACCAAATAATTTTTTGTACTGTTTCTTGCAAGACCTTAGTAAATTAATTGAGTCCATTAAATGATTTCTGAAATGGAAGTATGGGAGAGAAGACAAATCCTTAATATTCCACCATTCACCCTTCACAACCCTCTTCTCTTGTCAAAAAGTCTCCTTACAGTAGTTCCTCAGCACATCACACCTCCATGCTGATAGCCAGGCTGTCATTCCTTAATGTTAAAAGCCATAAACCTCTCCACCCCAGTCAAGGATGTAACCTGTCTGAGCTTAAGCAGACTAGATTAATGACCAGAGTTGGTAGTCTCAATAAACTCAAATATCCTTGAATCGATGTTAACCTCGAATCTGTTGGATTAGAGATGGGGTGTAAAATGGCCATGTGCAGGCGGACGCGCCAACACTCCCCAAAATGTTGTCCATTATGTGTAATGTTCTTAAGGGTTTCTTAAGTAAAAGGAAATGATGGCAAACCAAGTGCCAAGCTGTCACAAATGCAAATTTGTAGAGGTGTCAAGCAATTGTGGTTTTTTTTTCCTGTGACAAATAAAAGTAAGCCATTCAGTTCACCTATTTTGGTTGCTAGAAGCTAACTGATACAAGGATCTAATGAAGCTGTTTCTGTTAGGATAACAGAATACCCGCTTCAACAGTATGTGTTCCCAGCACCCACAACCTTAAAGCTCTTCTCCGTAGTTTCCACTTTTCTGTATATTTCCTGATCCTGATGGAGTTCATCGGGTGGATTTTTCTAATGCCAAGTATTTTGAAGTCAGTTTTGAAGACACATTATAGTTTTCTTTGGTTAAAAAAATAAAGGAGATTCAGTTGTTTTACTGGATGTTTAGAAAGGGATAAAAATGTCTTTCTTAAATGCATTCAGCAATTAATAATTGCAGTAATTAATAAACCCTGCAGGGCATTGGCATCCCAGGCCCAGGGGCGTCCACCAGGTGCTTATACTGTACCTTTAAAAACAAGATTGGAAAATACTTTAAAAAATGACATTTAGATTAATAAAATAAATTAAGTGGGGCTATTTATTTCCTTGTGAGAGGCAGTCTTTTATTATTTATTTTTTAAAGTGATAATTGCAAGATAAGTATTTTAATAAGTGATAATTAGGGCTGTGACTTTTGGGGAGTTATTTCAAGAGAATAAACTTGCACTTAAATATTCTGAGGCAATTTCTCTTTATTAACTCAACTCCAGAAAAAGACATTTAACTGCAAGATGTGTTCAATTTTTTTTACTCATTGCCGTGAAAGAACCTTCATCCCAGATTGTAGTGAGTGAAGCTTTGAAAGAAACGCAAAGTTAATTTCTCTTTCGTCCTGTGTCTAGTTTAAACAGCACACTAACACACAATCCTCAAATAATCCTCCAAGCTAATGCATCAGTAAATTGGTTAGAATTTGATATTTTTATTCACTTTAACAAATGGATCTTCAAACCAGCAAACTACCTTGTTGAACGAAGCTAGCAGACTCTACACCCATGAACGTTTGCAACTAAAAAAAGTTTTTTGTTATAATATTGATTTATTAAGAGATATAATTGGCACTAAACCAGATAATAAAAGCATCTGGTCTTGTTGGTGTTGGATACTGACAAGCAGTGTTAGAAGTTAAATAGTTGCTCCACTGAAAGACTAAATACAGTAATAGCAGGGTATGCATGTCTAATGTCAACCTTCAAAATGTCATGTTTTAAGGCCGTTAATTGTACAAAGTGTATTGAAAGATTTATAATTATGCAAATACATCCCTCTAAAGACCTACAAACTCAAGCAGAGGAGATTACAAGAGGCCCCAAAGGCAATGGCAAAGTGAATCCAATGGATTATTTTTTGCTTGGCAGCTATACATGAACATGAAGGCATAACTGCAATTACAAAGAAGTACCTTCATGTGGGAGAACACAGGCACTTTAAGGTGGATGGGTCTTTGAAACACACTGCCTTGTCATGCAGTTTATTCCTTTGGGACCTTCAAGAAATGGTTGGATGAGATCAGATAAATATTTATCAATATATCAGATCAATAAGCTACTGTCAACCAAACGGTAACTAAAGCTGTTAAAATGGCCCTATCTCAGTTGTAATCTCTTTAAGCTCTTATACACAAGTGCCTCTTCCTGAGAGTTGTCAGATGAAACTATTTAACTATAAGGAGCATAAAACCTTTTAGGAAAAACTATGAAAAACTGAAAGATTATTATAGCCTTTATTCTGTGTGTTATTAATATTGAAAACTGGATTTTCTTTGGCTTTGCAACTCTCGAAGATGGAGCTGACACTGGTGACATTTACACTGGTTACACTTTTCAACTTGCATTATGAGAATAATATACCTCTGCAGTACTGTAGTTTTATTGGGTTTGTGAGTACAGTCAATATTTCTATATGACCTTAGCAGGTGGATCAATCTAAAGGGCAAGACTTCATATTAAATTGTAAGTACTATACCTTTTCTCATTATTTAAATTGTCCTGATGACCAGAGCAGTCATAGTCATCTTTTTCTTGCGCTTAGTGACCGTACCATCATATCTTTTGTGTGTCTTGATGATTGCCTTTTTGTCATGATAGTAACTTGTGGTGAAATTTACTGTATGATCAGTTATATCACAGATAAGTAGACTATTGATCATATGTTCTTTTCTAATGCTTTTTTCATGGTTGTAAAGAGTGGATGCTCCTTATAATTTAGTCCACTGCATTGGATGGTTATATGATCACTTCTTTTGCATTACGGAAGGGTGTTATAAGTTCAAATTCTAAAAAGGTGTCACTTTCATATTGGCACTGCTTCTCTGAGTTTCCAGCCCCTTCAGCATATAGAAACCTAAGCAGTCTCTCCTCAACTTCCTTGCCTTTATTTATGATAACCATATACAGTGTAAATTGCCTATTGTGTCTAAATCTGTTTATGATGACCAGACATATAGTAGGTGGGAATGATAATGCATCAGATACTAACACAATGAACTTTTTGTAACCAATTGGTTACAGATAATACACCTACTGTAAATGCAGTTCTGAAACTCAGAAATTGGTACAGAGCTGAAATGAATTACCAATCTCATTTGATCTTTGAATGGAGATTGTGCTTAAAAATTCATCTGGAGCAAAAACCAGACAACAGTGTTCCTTCAAGCGACTGCTTTAAGGTACTTTAATATGAACAACAGCCCATCATGTCTGATAATGATATTTGAGAACAGTAACCACTTCAAGCTTAAAGCTCAGTTTAATCAAACACCACTTCCACGCTGTGCAGAACCAGAGATATGTTTTGACATTACATTACAGTAATGCAAACTGTCACTTTACCAGTTCTGTGATCCTCAGATTTTCATCTTTAAAAACACTGGTCAGAACCACGGTGCTTCTTCATGTGTTCTTTTGATTTGTCAACACCAACAACACTTTAACTAGCATTCTCTTTTTCAAACACGAGCTTGCTGAGATGACAATTTGTTTACATTTCATTTCTTTCTTTATTCTGCTTTTACAAAAAAAAAAAACTATGACACTCAGTCAAGGTCTCAGCTCTGAGATATTGAAAACGGAGATTATTATTGCTGGGTTGCAAAGAAAATAATATTTTTTTTACATGCAGGGTTCACACAATTTAAAAAACTGAAAGAACCCAGCTTTGACATGTTGCATTATTTGAAGGAAAGCTAGGCAAACATGTCAAAACATTATGTGGGGACAACATACAAATTTAACACAGATAATAAATCAGGTTTGGATTTGAACCCAGAGGCCCAGAACTCTAAGGCAGTAATGCTAACCATTGAGCCACTGTACCACCTAGAGAAGTTTCACTTTTAATATTGTAAGAAATTGATTTTAATGTTCAATCTGACTACACTGATTATTGTTGAAACATGAAACATGATGTGTGGTTTATCACTATGATCATATTGTTCTACTTTTTAACAAACATTGCACTAACTGTTTAACCTTCATTTTCACATCGTGCCCAGGTAGGGATAAGCTTCAACAACCTGTAAGCTTTGTATTCAATTCTTGAAGGAGAACAACATTCAGGAGAAGAGTTGAGGTTGAACTATTTGGCTTCAGCAACCCAATTTAGAAGATAGTTCACTGGGTTTAAGCTATACACTGCGTGTCACGGGTAAAGATATTGCAGTCTCCAGAGGACCATAATCTACTTCTGCTCGGGTGCCATGAATATCTTTAATTTGTTTAATACAGTTTCATTTTTTATGGATTATATAACTGGGATTGTTTGCAATATTTTTTAAGAAAAAATGTGAAATTTTATATAAAATTCATATCCAACAACATAAATTTATCTGCTTTTAAACATGTGCTTTTTATTTTGAGAAAAAAACACTTTCCACATGACTGCTATATAAGACTAGGGCATAAGTGTCTAACTGTGACTTGTACCATCTGGCATTTTTTCATGATTGCTGACTACCTAGATCCGAAAATCTAATTCAATGTTGTCTGTTTGGCAAATGCTGCATTTTAAATAAGGTCTTTGAACACATTACAAGCAAAATAACTGCCTAAGGAAATGGAAGGTAAAATGTTGAATATTTACAACTGAAGTAAAAAAAAAATGAAATGAAAAAACAAGCAAAACAAATGGAATAGAAACTAAAAGACAGTGAAGGATGTAAGTTAAACCACCATACTGGAAACATGTTCTGGATGTTCCTCTATCTTGTCAGTGTGGGGAATTCCTTTATGACAAGAATGATTCCAGAGCCGCAATAACTTTTTTGGAAGTTAACCAAAATTGTAAACAGTATTATAAATTAGGTATAACTTGTACATTGTACAATTTTGGCATTACATTCATCCATGCATTTTCTAACCTCTTCTTTTGATTCAGGGTCACGGGAGAGCCAGAGACTATCC